CTGGGAATAATTTGGTGTATGGAGTTTGGGGTATGTTGATTGACCATTAGGATACAAAATCTCGACAAAAAAAAAATTTGAAATTTCATCGTTTTAGTAAGAAGGTCTACCTTATGATTTAGATTTTGAAAAATTTTGAAAGGTCATAACTTTTTTTCTATTATAGATAGAAAGCTGAAACTTTCACTGAATTTTATCCTTTTCAAAGGACTTCAATCCCTCAAAATTTCATCTCATTTGCACTTATAGTTCCTGAGATAAAATCGTATTAAGCAATTTGGGGTGATTTTATCAATTTTTCAATTTTTCTGAGTGCCTTTTTTCATAGATTTCGGCTTCAAATCTGGGAATAATTTGGTGTATGGAGTTTGGGGTATGTTGATTGACCATTAGGATACAAAATCTCGACAAAAAAAAAAATTGAAATTTCATCGTTTTAGTAAGAAGGTACCTACCTTATGATTTAGATTTTGAAAAATTTTGAAAGGTCATAACTTTTTTTCTATTATAGATAGAAAGCTGAAACTTTCACTGAATTTTATCCTTTTCAAAGGACTTCAATCCCTCAAAATTTCATCTCATTTGCACTTATAGTTCCTGAGATAAAATCGTATTAAGCAATTTGGGGTGATTTTATCAATTTTTCAATTTTTCTGAGTGACTTTTTTCATAGATTTCGGCTTCAAATCTGGGAATAATTTGGTGTATGGAGTTTGGGGTATGTTGATTGACCATTAGGATACAAAATCTCGACAAAAAAAAAATTTGAAATTTCATCGTTTTAGTAAGAAGGTACACCTACCTTATGATTTAGATTTTGAAAAATTTTGAAAGGTCATAACTTTTTTTCTATTATAGCTAGAAAGCTGAAACTTTCACTGAATTTTATCCTTTTCAAAGGACTTCAATCCCTCAAAATTTCATCTCATTTGCACTTATAGTTCCTGAGATAAAATCGTATTAAGCAATTTGGGGTGATTTTATCAAATTTTCAATTTTTCTGAGTGCCTTTTTTCATAGATTTCGGCTTCAAATCTGGGAATAATTTGGTGTATGGAGTTTGGGGTATGTTGATTGATTAGGATACAAAATCTCGACAAAAAAAAAATTTGAAATTTCATCGTTTTAGTAAGAAGGTACCTACCTTATGATTTAGATTTTGAAAAATTTTGAAAGGTCATAACTTTTTTTCTATTATAGATAGAAAGCTGAAACTTTCACTGAATTTTATCCTTTTCAAAGGACTTCAATCCCTCAAAATTTCATCTCATTTGCACTTATAGTTCCTGAGATAAAATCGTATTAAGCAATTTGGGGTGATTTTATCAATTTTTCAATTTTTCTGAGTGACTTTTTTCATAGATTTCGGCTTCAAATCTGGGAATAATTTGGTGTATGGAGTTTGGGGTATGTTGATTGACCATTAGGATACAAAATCTCGACAAAAAAAAAATTTGAAATTTCATCGTTTTAGTAAGAAGGTACACCTACCTTATGATTTAGATTTTGAAAAATTTTGAAAGGTCATAACTTTTTTTCTATTATAGCTAGAAAGCTGAAACTTTCACTGAATTTTATCCTTTTCAAAGGACTTCAATCCCTCAAAATTTCATCTCATTTGCACTTATAGTTCCTGAGATAAAATCGTATTAAGCAATTTGGGGTGATTTTATCAAATTTTCAATTTTTCTGAGTGCCTTTTTTCATAGATTTCGGCTTCAAATCTGGGAATAATTTGGTGTATGGAGTTTGGGGTATGTTGATTGATTAGGATACAAAATCTCGACAAAAAAAAAATTTGAAATTTCATCGTTTTAGTAAGAAGGTACCTACCTTATGATTTAGATTTTGAAAAATTTTGAAAGGTCATAACTTTTTTTCTATTATAGATAGAAAGCTGAAACTTTCACTGAATTTTATCCTTTTCAAAGGACTTCAATCCCTCAAAATTTCATCTCATTTGCACTTATAGTTCCTGAGATAAAATCGTGTTAAGCAATTTGGGGTGATTTATCAATTTTTAAATTTTTCTGAGTGCCTTTTTTCATAAATTTCGGCTTCAAATCTGAGAAAAATTTAGTGTATGGAGTTTGGGGGATGTTGATTGACCATTAGGATACAAAATCTCGACAAAAAAAATTTGAAGTTTCATCGTTTTATTAGGAAGGTACCTACCTTATTAGGGCTTCGCGAGACCACAAGACTAGTCTTGGTCTTGTCTTGGTAGCAAGACCAAGACCAAGACCTAATAAATCTTCTCAAGACCAAGACCAAGACTTGACGTTCAAGACTGAGACCAAGACCAAGACTCTCTCTCAAGACTCTCGTCTTGGTCTTGGTCTTGGTCTTGAAAAGAAAAATCGACTCGATATTTATGAAAATATGCAAATTCCTATATCTACTTTTAATATCTTTCAATTAAATCAATTCATCAAATTTATTATTCTTTTCGAATTCACGAGAAGGTATGATAGGTTTTGAAAATACAACAAAGTATAGATAACATTTAGGTATTTACACAGAACGCAGAAAATACAAAAAAAAAAAATTAGAATCTATTGAGATTACAATGGTCTTATTCTTTGAATAAGATCATTTTATGTTTCATGAAAATTTTCAAATACAGAACATAATATACCTATGGAAGTTTTTCCAAAATAAATTAAATTAGATCAGGATTAGACAAATCGAAAAATTCACAAAAATCAGGAAAGATTATCATTCTACTTCAGAATCAGAAATGAAGTAATTTTGAAATGAATTAGGAAGCTCTCTACTATCTACTGAAGTAACACAAAATTAAATACCTATAGTAAAAAAAAAATAGGGCGTAATTGAAGTAGTGGAAGAAGTTTAAAAATTATAATTTTTTTTTCAAGACTATCAAGACCAAGACCAAGACTGAGCCAGTCTTGTCTTGGACTTGAAACATCAAGACCAAGACCAAGACCGCATTTATTTTTCGAGACCAAGACCAAGACTGGCGAATCTTGGTCTTGGTCTTGGTCTTGCGAAGCCCTATACCTTATGATTTAGATTTTGGAAAACTTTAAAAGGTCATAACTTTTTTTCTAATATAGATAGAAAGCTGAAACTTTCACTGAATTTTATCCTTTTCAAAGGACTACAATCCCTGAAAATTGCAGCTCATTTGCACTTATAGTTCCTGAGATAAAATCGTGTTAAGCAATTTGGGGTGATTTATAAATTTTTAAATTTTTCTGAGTGCCTTTTTTCATAAATTTCGGCTTCAAATCTGAGAAAAATTTAGTGTATGGAGTTTGGGGGATGTTGATTGACCCTTGGGATACAAATTCTCGACAAAAAAAAATTTTGAAATTTCATCGTTTTAGTAGGAAGGACCTTATGATTTAGATTTTGGAAAACTTTGAAAGGTCATAACTTTTTTTCTATTATAGATAGAAAGCTGAAATTTTCATCGATTCTTATCCCAGTAGAGGACTACATTCCCTGAAATTTTCAAATGATTTGGACTTATAGTTCCTGAAATTAAATCGCGTTAAGCAATTTGGGGTGATTTATCAATTTTTCAATTTTTCTGAGTGCCTTTTTTCATAGATTTCGGCTTCAAATCTGAGAATAATTTAGTGTATGGAGTTTGGGGGATGTTGATTGACCATTAGGATACGAAATCTCGACAAAAAAACATTTGAAATTTCATCGTTTTAGTAAGAAGGTACCTGCCTTATGATTTAGATTTTGGAAAACTTTGAAAGGTCATAACTTTTTTTCTTTTATAGATAGAAAGCTGAAACTTTCACTGAATTTTATCCTTTTCAAAGGACTACAATCCCTGAAAATTGCAGCTCATTTGCATTTATAGTTCCTGAGATAAAATCGTGTTAAGCAATTTGGGGTGATTATCTCGGCTGCGCCGTCGTGCTCGAAAAATCGCGCGTGTTTTAAAGACCTTAATATCCACTTATACTTTAATATACTATTATATTTCATCGTTTTAGTAAGAAGGTACCTACCTTATCATTTAGATTTTGGAAAACATTGAAAGGTCATAACTTTTTTTCTATTACAGATAGAAAGCTGAACTTTTCAGCGATTCTTATCCCAGAAGAGGACTACAAATCCTGAAAATTTCAACTAATTTGGACTTATAGTTTCTGAGATAAAATCGTGTTAAGCAATTTGGGGTGATTTATCAATTTTTCAATTTCTCTGAGTGCCTTTTTTCATAGAATCTAGCTCCAAATCTAAGAATAATTTAGTGTATGGAGTTTGGGGGATTCAAAATGACTATTAGGACACAAAATCTCAACAAAAAAAAATTTCATCGTATTAGTAGGAAGGTACCTACCTCGATTTTGTCATTTAAATTATCAGGTATAAGTTGTAAATATTTCGCAACAGAGTATATTAATCACACATCCTCACAAACAAGGAAACTGCACCAAAACAAGGTAAACAAAAGGATAAATTACTCAAGATAATGTTTGAGATGATAATTTTTTTCATAATGAGAGAAATTTTATTGAATTGGAAATGTTATTCATTCAGTTGGAGATCTGACCTGACAGTGCCATTTTGTTCTTGAAATTTCCTAAATCTAGGGAAAAACACTTTGACGCACACTAGACACTGTAATAAAATGATTGTACGTTATGCCATATTTTTCGAAATTTCTTGAAAACTTAAAGATAAATATGAATGATTTTGGTTTAGGAAACCTTGCAACATTAACAGGAAATAGACCAGTTGACTCAAATCCCTTTACAATGTTGTTAGGTTTTATGTCCATTGTCCAAATTTCTCCCAACAATTCAGCAAACATATTTTTAGTGAGGCGCGCCGATTCCCTGTTCTGAATTTGTGTTTTGACAAACTCAAGTAGTTCTATTTTCCAAAAATTTTTTATGGGACAAAAAACACACTTGTCTAGCGGTTGTATTTTGTCAGTTAGATGACTTGGCAACTCCACCAAATGAATATCGTCTTATTTTTCATATGGAAGATCAAAAAAGTAGAAACACAGATGCAAATATTTTTATTAATAAAAAAACACACACACAAGTCTTAACCTAACTTCAAAGTTGGAAAAGCGATTAATTTGAACATATTTCATCAATCAAGCAAAAATTAGCCTTCCCCTTAATAAATAATACTGTCAAAAACTATCACATCAAAGTTATCCTCGAACCCAACACTTTATCTTCAACAAAATCCTTCAATTCCTTATAAGCCTTATCCAAATTATCATTGACAATAACTTTATCGAAGTTCCTGGCCTGCAAACCAAAAGCAATTTCCTCTCTGGCATTAGCTATTCGCCTCTCTAAGCTTTCCTCGCTTTCGGTTTTTCTTTTGAGCAACCGCTTCCTCAATTCAGTGATTGAAGGCGGTTGTACGAACACACACCAAGGATTCAGATTGGTTTTTTTCACTTGCCTGACGCCTTGCATATCGATGTCCATCAGTACTACTTTGCCTTGCCTAGTGATACTTTCCACTGCTTCGAAGCTGGTTCCGTATATGTTGCTGCTGAATACTGCGTGTTCGATGAATTCTCCTTTTTCAATAGCTTGTCTTATGGTGCGTTCGTCGGTGAAATAATAGTGCTTTCCGTGGATTTCTCCGGGTCTTGGTGAGCGCGTCGTGTGGCTCACGGTGAATCCGAATTTGTCTGGAAAATCGTTCATTAGGCGTTTGACTAGGGTACTTTTGCCTGAACCCGACGGGCCGCAGAATACTAAAGGGCGTAGCATTTGGTTGGATATCTTGGAAAAATCTGGAAAAAAAATTGTTGTTATTTGACTTATCGAGCTGAAGATTGTTGTTAATTGAGCACCAAAATTTTATGTCAGAACTGAATTGGTTATTTCAATTTTTTGACATTACATATATATCTTTCAATGTCAACCAACTATCTAAAGAATCGGTACCTGTATATTACAATGCACACAAATTAAAGATATTATAGAATAATTTGAACATCTTTCCTTGATTTGTATGTAATACACTTCAAAAAGTTCACTCCGAGGGTTGAACTGCAAGGGAAATCAGGTGTATACAAGTTCGGGGAAATCAAGTAGAAATCTGAGGGAATTTAAGGCAATCAGAGGAAATCATAAGAAAATCTAGGGAAATCTCTTAATTAAAAGCATGCTCAGTTTTCAAAAAACTTCATCATTTGAGGTGATGTTAACGTAGGGTTCAAGACTATGGGAACTTTTCAAGAATTAAATTAATTTAACTAGAGGTTAAGCTAAACCCATTGAGATTCCAAAGGCTCCAAAAAATTTCAACACTTAAAATCAAGGGGCAAACCACCTAGGAATTATTTGCCAAAAATGCGGGGAATTTAGAGGAATTTGTGGGAAATTTAGAGGAATTTGTAAGGAATTTGAAGGAACTCATCCGAATTTAGCAGAATTTGGGGAATTTATAGGGAATTTGGAGGAATTTATGGGGAATTTGGGAGAATTTGTGAGGAATTTATGAGGAGTTTAAACGAAATTGTCAAATTTAAAAAATTCAAAAGAATAATAAATACAGTTTTTGTAGGCTAATTTCCAAGATTTTTCATATTGTTATTTTCCACTGAAAAAATTTGAAATTTTGGGAAAATGAGCTTCTCACCTTTCTCTCTACATGCAAAAAGTTTCAAAATGTTCCCTTCACTAGTTTTCCAGGAAAACTTTGAAATGTGTGAGACTGTATTTTCAACTTATTAAGTTTTTGTAGGTTGATTTCCAAGATTTTTCATGTTGCTGTTTCCTACTGGAAAAATTTGAAATTTTGGGAAAATGAGCTTCTTACCTTCTTCTTTACATGCAAAAAGTTTCAAAGTTTTCCCTTTAGTAGTTTTCCAGATAAACTTTGTGAGACTTGTGTGAGACTGTATTTTCAATTAATTCAGTAATTGTAGATTGATTTCCACGGGACATGTTGTACCTTTCTACTTTAAAAATTTGAAATTTTGGAAAAATGAGCTTCTTACCTTCTTCTTTACATGCAACAAGCTTCAAAGTTTTCCCTTTACTAGTTTTCCAGGACAACTTTGTGAGACTTGTGTATGTGTATTTTCAATTAATTCAGTAATTGTAGGTTGATTTCCAAGAATCCTCATGTTGTACCTTTCTACTTCAAAAGTGTCAAATTTTGGAAAAATGAGCTTCTCACCTTCCTCTTTACATGCAAAAAGTTTCCAAATTTTCCCTTCACTAGTTTTTCAGGAAAACTTTGAAATGTGTGAGACTGTATTTTCAACTAATTCAGTTTATGTAGGTTGATTTCCAAGATTTTTCATGTTGTTATTTTCTACTGAAAAAAATTGAAATTTTGGAAAAATGAGCTTCTCACCTTCCTCTTTACATGCAAGAAGTTTCAAATTTCTCTCATCACTAGTTTTCCAGGAAAATTTTGAAATGTGTGAGACTGTATTTTCAGTTAATTCAGTTATTGTAGGTTGATTTCCAAGATTCCTCATGTTATAATTTCTACTTGAAAAATTTGAAATTTCGGGAAAATGAGCTTCTCACCTTCCTCTTTACATGCAAAAAGTTTCAAAATTTTTCCTTCACTAGTTTTCCAGGATAACTTTGTGAGACTTGTGTGAGACTGTATTTTTAACTAATTCAGTTTATGTAGGTTGATTTCCAAGATTTTTCAAGTTGTTATTTTCCATTGGAAAAATTTGAAATTTTGGGAAAATAAACTTCTCACCTACCTCTTTAAATGCAAAAAGTTTCAAATTTCTCTCTTCACTAGTTTCCCAGGAAAACTTTGAAATGTGTGAGACTGTATTTTCAACTAATTCAGTTTTTGTAGGTTGATTTCCAAGATTTTTCATGTTGTTATTTTCCACTAGAAAAATTTGAAATTTTGGGAAAATAAACTTCTCACCTACCTCTTCACATACAAAATGTTTCAAATTTCTCTCTTCACTAGTTTTCCAGGAAAACTTTGAAATGTGTGAGACTGTATTTTCAACTAATTCAGTTTATGTAGGTTGATTTCCAAGATTTTTCATGTTGTTATTTTCTACTGAAAAAAATTGAAATTTTGGAAAAATGAGCTTCTCACCTTCCTCTTTACATGCAAGAAGTTTCAAATTTCTCTCATCACTAGTTTTCCAGGAAAATTTTGAAATGTGTGAGACTGTATTTTCAGTTAATTCAGTTATTGTAGGTTGATTTCCAAGATTCCTCATGTTATAATTTCTACTTGAAAAATTTGAAATTTCGGGAAAATGAGCTTCTCACCTTCCTCTTTACATGCAAAAAGTTTCAAAATTTTTCCTTCACTAGTTTTCCAGGATAACTTTGTGAGACTTGTGTGAGACTGTATTTTTAACTAATTCAGTTTATGTAGGTTGATTTCCAAGATTTTTCAAGTTGTTATTTTCCATTGGAAAAATTTGAAATTTTGGGAAAATAAACTTCTCACCTACCTCTTTAAATGCAAAAAGTTTCAAATTTCTCTCTTCACTAGTTTCCCAGGAAAACTTTGAAATGTGTGAGACTGTATTTTCAACTAATTCAGTTTTTGTAGGTTGATTTCCAAGATTTTTCATGTTGTTATTTTCCACTAGAAAAATTTGAAATTTTGGGAAAATAAACTTCTCACCTACCTCTTCACATACAAAATGTTTCAAATTTCTCTCTTCACTAGTTTTCCAGGAAAACTTTGAAATGTGTGAGACTGTATTTTCAACTAATTCAGTTTATGTAGGTTGATTTCCAAGATTTTTCATGTTGTTATTTTCTACTGAAAAAAATTGAAATTTTGGAAAAATGAGCTTCTCACCTTCCTCTTTACATGCAAGAAGTTTCAAATTTCTCTCTTCACTAGTTTTCCAGGAAAATTTTGAAATGTGTGAGACTGTATTTTCAGTTAATTCAGTTATTGTAGGTTGATTTCCAAGATTCCTCATGTTATAATTTCTACTTGAAAAATTTGAAATTTCGGGAAAATGAGCTTCTCACCTTCCTCTTTACATGCAAAAAGTTTCAAAATTTTTCCTTCACTAGTTTTCCAGGATAACTTTGTGAGACTTATGTGAGACTGTATTTTTAACTAATTCAGTTTATGTAGGTTGATTTCCAAGATTTTTCAAGTTGTTATTTTCCATTGAAAAAATTTGAAATTTTGGGAAAATAAACTTCTCACCTACCTTTTTAAATGCAAAAAGTTTCAAATTTCTCTCTTCACTAGTTTCCCAGGAAAACTTTGAAATGTGTGAGACTGTATTTTCAACTAATTCAGTTTTTGTAGGTTGATTTCCAAGATTTTTTATGTTGTTATTTTCCACTAGAAAAATTTGAAATTTTGGGAAAATAAACTTCTCACCTACCTCTTCACATACAAAATGTTTCAAATTTCTCTCTTCACTAGTTTTCCACGAAAACTTTGAAATGTGTGAGACTGTATTTTCAACTAATTCAGTTTTTGTAAGTTGATTTCCAAGATTTTTCATGTTGCTGTTTTTTACTGAAAAAATTTGAAATTTTGGGAAAATGAGCTTCTTACCATCCTCTTTAGATGCGAAAAGTTTCAAAATTTTTCCTTGACTAGTTTTCCGGAAATCTTTGAAATGTGTGAGATTGTATTTTCAATTAATTCAGTTAAATAGGGTGATTTCCAAGATTTTTCATATTGCTGTTTCCACTGGAAAATTTTGAAATTTTGGGAAAATGAGCCTTCTACCTTCTTCTTTACATGCAAAAAGTTTCAAAATTTTCCCTTTACTAGTTTTCCAGGAAAACTTTGAAATGTGTGAGACTGTATTTTCAACTAATTAATTTTTTTTTAGGTTGATTTCCAAGATTTTTCTTGTTGTTATTTTTCAGTGGAAAAATTTGAATCTTTGGGAAAATGAGCTTCTTACCTTCTTCTTTACATGCAAAAAGTTTCAAAATTTTCCCTTTACTAGTTTTTCAGGAAAACTTTGAAATGTGTAAGACTGTATTTTCAACTAATTCAGTTTTTGTAGGTTGATTTCCAAGATTTTTCATGTTGTTATTTTTCAGCGGAAAAATTTGAAACTTTGGGAAAATAAGCTTCTCACCTTCCTCTTTACATACAAACAATTTCAAAATTTTCCCTTCACTAGTTTTCCAGGAAAACTTTGAAATATGTGAGACTGTATTTTCAACTAATTCAGTTTTCGTAGGTTGTTTTCCTTGATTTTTCATGTTGCTGTTTTTTACTGGAAAAATTTGTAATTTTGAGAAAATGAGCTTCTTACCGTCCTCTTTACATGCAAAAAGTTTAAAAAATTTCCCTTCACTAGTTTTCCGGAAATCTTTGAAATGTGTGAGACTGTATTTTCAATTAATTCAGTTATTGTAGGTTGATTACCAAGATTTTTCATGTTGCTGGTTTCCACTGAAAAATTTTGAAATTTTGGGAAAATGAGCTTTTTACCTTCTTCTTTACATGCAAAGAGTTTCATTTTCCCTCTACTAGTTTTCCAGAAAAACTTTGAAATGTGTGAGACTGTATTTTCAACTAATTCAATTTATGTAGGTTGATTTCCAAGATTTTTCATGTTGTTATTTTCTACTGGAAAAATTTGAAATTTTGGAAAAATGAGCTTCCCACCTTCCTCTTTACATGCAAAAAGTTTCAAATTTCTCTCTTCACTAGTTTTCCAGGAAAACTTTGAAATGTATGAGACTGTATTTTCAATTAATTCAGTTATTGTAGGTTGATTTCCAAGATTCCTCATGTTGTAATTTCCTACTTGAAAAATTTGAAATTTTGGAAAAATGAGCTTCTCACCTT